CCCGCCATACCTCCATCCCCAATCGCCGCTGACATCTACTCTTCTCTCCCCGCAGTCAAGAAGCAGGTCACGATCTGCGCCTCCGCGCTCGAGGCGTGCCGCGACGCCGAGGCTGTCGTGATCGCGACCGAGTGGAAGGAGTTCAAGGAGATCGACTGGAAGGCCGTGTACCAGCACATGAAGAAGCCCGCATTTGTGTTTGACGGCCGGCTTCTCGTCGACGCGGCGGCGTTGACGCAGATTGGGTTCAAGGTATGTGCTTAGTGCTTCGCTTCCTGATGTGGCTAACCAGAGTTGCGTTTCGCGCAGGTGACGACCATCGGCCGCACGTCGCTGTAGAGCTGTGCTAGAAGAATAAATTACTTGTATGCATGCATGGACATTGCGGAATGCGGATTACGGAATTACTTAGACTTAAGTTTACCTTTAATGATGGATTCTTTCTTTCAAGGGTAGTTTAACCCGTACTTTGTTGTCTGCGTAGATTCAGAATAGAATGGTATGATACTCTTTATAATGCACGTCCATGGACAGAAAGGAGTAGGAAGCACGGTTCATTTCATTTCTAAAACTACACGAGAGACGTAAGATAAAATAAGAATACCAAGACGGTTGGTTAAGGTTAAGTAGGTAGTTCAAGTCACAGGCGAACGAAATGGAGAGACACAGCGCGAAGTGCACGGGAACGCGAGCTGCGGACAGGAAAACGGGATGCGTGTGCTCTACGACGACACCGGGTATGGCTGGCCGACTGCTGGTCAGGCGAGCTGCGGGTCGACTTGCATTGCAACGGGAGCGGGAGCGGGTGTCGTGTACGTGGAGGAGGGAGGACTTGGATTTGGATTTGGCGCGGCGGACGGAGTGGGTATAGTGGGGTTCGGATTCGGCACACAGTGTTGGTGCGTCGTGCCCGTGCCCGCCTGGTATTGAGCGGACTCGGCCTGTGCCTGCTGCTGCTGCTGTCCGTGCGTCGCCTGCGGCTGCGGCTGCACCTGGAACTGCACCTGTGGGTAATACGCCTGCCCCGCCGCCGCCGCACCACGGTAATACTGCGACGACCACGGCTGCGGGCCCGTGTAGTACTGATTCACGTAGTGCGAGTGCGACCCCGGCTGGTGCGCGCTGGTGCCCGTGCCAGTGCTCGCGGAGGTGTAGTTACTGGCGTTGGCGTTGGAGTGGGCACTTGTACTTCCGCTGCTGGACGCACTGGCCGCGCCGGGGTACTGCCAGTACTCGTACTTGAACACGCTGTACGGGTTCTGCGTCTGCGTCTGTGGTGCGGCGTTGGGATTCGGACTTGGATTGGATTTCGCGCTTCCGCTTGGGTGCACGACGAGGCCGGCGTACGGGTTGTGGCTCTGCGCGGAGGTGGCAGCGGGAGTGGTGCTGCCGGAGGGATTCACGATGTTGCCGTTGGGGAAGCGCGGGCCGGAGGACGAGGATGCGGACGCGGACGCGGAAGCAGCGCCGGGGTACTGGGTGTGCGTTGGGTTGTACGGGCTGGTGAAAGTCGCCGTCGCGTGCGGGTGGGTGGCATGGGAATGTGTAGCGACTGCAGGGCCACAAAGTCGTCAGTTAGTCACTCGTCGGACGCGGAAAGAGGAAGGGGCATGTACCAGGGAACGTCGTCGTGGGGAGGCTCGTCGCGCCCAGAATAATGCTGTTCCACTTGAACTCGCGCACCTCGCCCGCGTCCCAGAGGACCTCGACGCTGCGGCGCTCCTCGAGCACGCGCATGAGCGTCACCTCGAACACGCCCGCGCTCACGCGGATCTTGATGCGCGAGAGCGGCGGAAGCGCGAGGATGTCGGCGCGCAGGCCGTCGGCTTTGGAGGCGCGGCGGGAGGCGATGATTACCTGCGCAGGGACGTCGTCAGTCACAGGAGGAAAAGTAAGGAAAGGAGGACGCACAGGGTTATGCTGCGGGCAGAGCACCTCGACCTCGACCTTCTGGATCGTCTTGAGCACGCGCAAATTTGGCTCGGGGGGCGGTGCGGTGGGGTCCGCAGCGGCGGACGGCGCGGGCGCAGGCTCGAGGAGAACGACTTCCTTCTCGACCTCGCGCAGGATCGAGTACGCGATGCCCGCGGGGCCGCCCGCCTCCGCGCAGCTGATGTGGAACGATTTCGGGCACTTGCCCTTGGTGCATTGGATGAGCGCGCCGTGCGCCTTGGCGCGCGTGCGCGTGCAGGCGTTGCATTTCTAGGCAGAAGAGCAGATACGTTAGTGAGCTGCGGGAAGGACTGGAATGGAGGAGGGAGACGCACGAGATTCCAACGCCCGCGCACGATGCCATCGACGCCGAACACGACGCGCTCGCCCGCGACCTCGTCGACCCATGTCTCGGGCAGCACGCGCGCGCACGACTCGTGCGCCATCCACGCCGGCTGCCGCTGCCCCTGCGCGCCCGTGTGCGCAGAGGGGAAGTGGACCGGCGCCTCGCGGAAGTGGACCTGCGCGGCCGGCGCGACCTCGCGCCACGCTATCGGCAGATCGTGCACCCGCACGAGGCCCGCGAGGGACGGCGAGACGCAGAGGCAGCAGGGGTAAGTTTCCTCCGCGGGGGGTGCGGTTGCGGAAGGGGGCGGGCCGAGCTTGAGGGTGACTTTTTGGAATTGGGCGTGTGCGTGGGTGTGGGCGTGAGCGGAGGCGGAGGCGGAGGCGGGAGCAGCGGGGAAGATAGAGGTAGAGGCGCTGGGCGCAGCAGGGACGGTGCGGGGCCGCTTGGCGGCGGGCGAGGCGTCGGGGTCAAAGTGGGTGGTGGGCTTGCGCTTGCGGGGGCTGCGCGGCTTTGCCGGGGGGAGGATCACCGTGGGCAGTGGTTCAGGGTATGGTTCAGCCTCGACGGAGGGCATTGCCGCGCCGTCGTCGTATTCGTGCTCGAGGCCGTCGCGGGCTGCGCGCGCGGCGGCGGCTGCTGCGGGATCGGTCTTTTCGAGCGCCTCGATGCGCCGGTCCTCGAGCAGTTGGTCGACGTCGATGCGGACGCTAGCGACAATGAGTGGAGATAAGAAAAGCCAAGGGAGACGTACCTATCGTCAACACACTTGCACACGGCGGCCTTGCGGCCCTCGTCGAGCCAGCTGTCGAGCGCAAAGTTGACGCTTTCGGCGCAGTTGAGGCCGAGGTTGAAGCCCGCGTGGTAGCCGCGCGGGTAGGTGACGACAAACTCACCCGCGTGCTGCACGAGGTGGTTGGGACGGACGGCGGACTGCGCGAGGAGCGTCGGCGAGGCGAGAAAGGACTTGTGCCGCAGGAATTGCGGGCATGTAGAGGTGTCTTTGGGGAAGTAGCCGCGCATGGTGTCTTCCAGCGCTCCGGCTCTTGCCTGGGGGACCGCATACCAGAACTTGGGCGCGCCAAAGTGGATGTAGTTGATGGAAAAGAGGTCCATGTCCTCGACGTGCCAGGCAAAGGTCGCGCGCCACATGCCAAAGTAGAGGTAGGGCGTGTTGACACCGGGGAGGCCCTGAGAGGAGGCGGGGAGGAGGCGGGAGAGGGTCGATTGGAGGTGGGCGACGTTCCAAGCGGCGGTGGCGTCGGTATAAAGCGAGCCCATGGTGTCGGCGCCGTACCAGGGGGGTTTTCCGAGGCCGCAGTTGCGCCAGAAGGCGCGCTCGAGCTTGGCGCAGAACTCGGGGGTGTAGTCGGCGGCGGTTGTGCCGGGGGGGAGCCAGTCGGTATGGGGGCTGAATGAGTCGATAAAAGACGCGTCCTTGTCCGCCCGCTCGACGCGACGGTTGCGCGGTTTGCTGTCCTCGGGCTTGGTGTCCTCCGGGTCTGGCGAGGCGCTGTTCGGGGGCGAGGCCATTGCCGCATTGTTCTCGACCTTGGCCTCGTCCTCCGCTGTGGCATCCGCCTCGTCCTTGCCCTTGGTCTTTCGCCGCCGCCGCATCGTGGTGGGCTGGGCACTCGGGTTGTTGTGCACACCGACCTGGTCCTTGCCCGGTGCGCGAAACTCGTCCTTTGCGCACAGCTCGGCCCACTCGCGCACGCTCATGAGCTTGCGCTTCTCCATGTTCTCCTGGCGGAAGAGCCCCGCGCGGCCACGCATGAACTGCTCTATGGGGCTCTTGATCTTCACGCCCGCCAGCTGCGGCTTCACGTCCGGCAGGGCATTGGTCCACTCCTTGGGCGGGATGACCTTGATGATCCCCGAGCGGCGGCCCCATGCCTCGACCCGGTTCATGTACCCCTCAAAGTCGGCAAACTCGTGCATCGTGGGCTTGAAAACAGGGATCCCCCGGTGGGCTAGGGGGTCATCGTCGGGTGACAGATAGGTCTTGCCCTCCGAGTCGGGCGACGGCGGGAGATGCGATGGGTCCGCCCCGTAGAAGTGGTCCGGCTGCACAGGTGGCTCCGGCGACGACGACCGCGACGCCGTCAGCGACGACACCGACGAGGACATTGTGGTCGTCAAAAACTTGTCTCTCTACCGACATCAATCCCGGCCCGTGACTCATCCGATTCCAGACTGCACCGCCGTATCCAGACCCTTTGTTTCGCTTAATTCTCGCCCGTATTTCTTGCCACCGCCGCGTCCAGACTGCGACCATTATATATATATCATATCCAGACCGCTCCAGTCACGCCGGTCCATTGTGTTTGAATTATTTCGGCCTGCTCTTGAATTCCGGCCGGATCCCGTATTTCTGTTCTCGGTTGAGATACGGCACTGTGGTTAACGCGACAGATTCGAATGAACCTACTGATCAAGATTCGACTCCAGTGGGAAGCCCGTGCTCTGATGCTCACCGACTTTAAACTCAAATCTGAATTGAACTATTCTATCTGCGAGTCGTAGATTTCCGATGACACGCAAACAGCGCGGGAACTCGTGCCGGAGTTCCAATTGCTTCTTGTTCTCGTACCATCACCATCTCCGCGACGTCGCCTTACCGCTCCTCGACGCGCCTTCTCCGAGCCCCCTCGTCGCCGCCCTCCTCGCCCTCGACGCCGTGCTCCCCACCGTCGACGCCGCGCTCCCACTTTTTTCAAAGGACACTGTGGCCGAGTGGTTAAGGCGATAGATTCGAATGGTGCAAGTATCTATTGGGATTTTCCCGCGTAGGTTCGAGTCCTACCGGTGTCGTTTTGTTTGTTCCAGTTGAAACGTTTATTTGTTCTTCTGAGAACATGAGGTTTATCGTTTTTATCTGCGTTGAGAGGCCAAGAATTTTATTTGTTCTTCTGAGAACATGAGGACGGCGGCCGAGGTTTATTTGTTCAATCCAACACATTGTTTGTTCCGCTGAGGCCATGGCCGAGTGGTTCCAAAAGACGGTCATGCCATGGCCGAGTGGTTTCCATGTGTAGCCGACGACGCTGCCAGGGTTCGAATAAACAACGTCTCCGGGTTTCGCACCAGTTCAACAGGACACCCGCGTAGGTTCAAATCCTACCGGTGTCGTTTTGTTTGTTCCAGTTGAAACGTTTATTTGTTCTTCTGAGAACATGAGGTTTATTGTTTTTATCTGCATTGAGAGGCCAAGAATTTTATTTGTTCTTTTGAGAACATGAGAGGTTTATTTGTTCAAGTCAACACATTGTTTGTTCCGCTGAGGCCATGGCCGAGTGGTTCCAAAAGACGGTCATGCTACGGCCGAGTGGTTTCCATGTAGCCGACGACGCTGCCAGGGTTCGCACAAAAAACGTCTCCGGGTTTCGCACCAGTTCAACAGGACACCCGCATAGGTTCGAATCCTACCGGTGTCGTTGTTTTGGTGGTATTCTTTTAGGGAATAAAGAGCGTCGTCTTGCTACGCGTGCGTGCATCATTTTGATCGCCGCGTCGTTTTGCGAGTAAAAGGCACGTCGTTTTGCGAATGAGGCACATGTCGTTTTGCGAATCAAGGGTGCGTCGTTTTGCGAGTAGGCGCACATCATTTTGATCGGCGCATTGTCTTGCGAATACCTGTACGTCGTTTGATCGGCGCGTCGTTTTACGAATTCCTGCGCGTCGTTTTGTGAATAAAGGGAACTTTGTTTTGCGAATCAAAACGTCATCGTGCGAATCGCACGTCGTTTTGTGAATACCGGCACGTCGTTTTGGGAATAAAAGGAACATCGTTTTGCGGATAAAACGCTGCGTTATTTTACGTCATTTGATCGGCACGTCGTTTTGCGATCACCTCAGCGTCGTTCTGCAAGTAAAGGTAACATCCACTGGATGAACATTTCGAGTTTTTCACTGAAAAAAGTGGTGAAAAAATTTCATTATTTTTTACACATTTTTCACTGAAAAATTGGTGAAAATTTTAAATACTTTTTCAGTACTTTTGTGACTGCGAATCAAGGTGAAAAATTTGAAATAAAATTCATCACTTTTTCAGCAAGAGTAATACTAATATTACCTACACATTTTCATGTGTGAAAATGTTAGTGAAAACTTCAAAACATTTTTCACCAAATTTTCACTTGCAAAAGGGTTTTTCACGCTTTTTGTAAAACTCGGTGAAAAATGTTTTGAATTTTCCACTAACATTTTCACCTGAAAATGTGTATGTATTATTGGTATTACTCTTCCTGAAAAATTCATGAATTTTATTTCAAAATTTCCACCTCAATTCTCAGTCTCGAAAGTATTGAAAAACTATTTGAAATTTTCATCAGTTTTTCAGTGAAAAAATGTGTGAAAAATAATGAACATTTTTCATCAATTTTTTCAGTGAAAAACTCGAAATTTTCATCCAGTGTACTGTATTGATGGGAGGTATATCCTTGCAATAATTAAATTGATTCCTTCTGGCCGCCCCTTTGGTGCATTCCATACTGCACCCATGGTCGTTATCTTTCCTCAGCACCCGTCCATTGACATCCCCTTTTGCTGCCACAATCGTCTCCGCCTCTACCCCATCTGGTTCTCTCCCCCGCCCTCCCCCGTGGGCCCCCGCCTCAACTGCACCTGTTCAATTTCAGCACTCCCTTCCCATGCCCTGCTCGGCCGTCGTCGACGTCAACTGCACCTGTGTCTCGGCATTCCTCGGCATCCTTGCTAGCACTCCCTGCCCGCCCCCGCTCCCGCCCCCGCCCCTGCTCCTGCCACTTGCTGCCACAGATCATTTTCATATATACCATTTTCATGTTGCACATCCAACTAATTGTGCTCCCCACTCCGGAGCCATTACACCTTTGTCTTGAGGCAAAAGGAACACCTTTTTCTAGAGAAGTTCAACAACCTGAAGAACCTTGTCAATCAATATCTGTGTACGATGACAGCACATAAGGATCAAACCGGCCGTACACTTTCTGATGGCAGACCTGGATAGGATCAAGCTGAGTAAGCGATGGTATTTATTTGTCTTTTCCTTCCTACCACCATGACGCTTTTGCAGCCATGCACCTAGGTCAGAATTCAAGGCCAAGAGAGCTGTTCCATCTGTTACATTATGTAACTTCCGTCATGTATGCTACTCTTCCAAAGTACTGTGCACATCTTTATAGATAACCTCGGCACCTACACTGGATGAACATTTCGAGTTTTTCACTGAAAAAAGTGGTGAAAAAATTACGTTATTTTTCACACATTTTTTCAGTGAAAAATTGGTGAAGTTTTTAAATAGTTTTTCAGTACTTTTGAGACTGAGAATTGAGGTGAAAAATTTGAAATAAAATTCATGACTTTTCCAGCAAGAGTAATACCAATAATACATACACATTTTCAGGTGAAAATGTTAGTGAAAAATTTAAAACATTTTTCACCAAAATTTTCACTTGCAAAAAGATAATAAAAAGTGGGAAAAATCTAGTGTAAAAAAGGGTGTAAAATTCGAAATGTGGAATCTTTTTTTACAGACATTTTTCATCATCTTTTATTTCACTTTTTTCACTGAAAAACATAATGAAAAAGATAGGATTATTCTATTTAACAACCCCCCTTGTTGAAAACAACCCGGGTTGTTGGATCAAAGTTCTATTCAACAACCCCGGATATTTATACGTCTGAGACTTGTCTGAGACAGAATCGGTATGCGCGCCGCATCCGACAGTAAATTTCACCTCAAAAAGGTCAAACACAGACCAAGGCATGCCGAGTTCAGATGAGTGCCGATACCGAGCCAATATACTCACTATTCAGGCGACCCCACAGCAGACCCTGCTGTTATATACCGAGCCGGGGATGGAGGACCGGAAGTGCCGGAGGTCCGGCAAGGGCCGGAGGTACCGGAGGTCCGACGGAGGGTCCGGGCTGTATACGAGTGATCGCAACACCACAGGGGGTAAAGGGTGAGCGACTACCTTGACCGGCAGGTAGTCCGGTATAGAGGACGACGACCGGAGGTACCGGAGGAGGACGAGGAGTGCAAAGACGACTCAGTGCAAGGAGTTAGAGCCAAGCAACGTTAATTATCAATCTGAAGTACAAGACGTATTAAAGTGATATATATACTAAGTAGCTAATTGTATTCCATAATAGGAAGGAGGGTGGTTCTAAACAATAGAGCGTGTTGGAGGAAGTGATGATAAGTCCTAAGACAATAAGGAAGAAGATGAGAAGACGGATAAACGGGAAACGCTCAGTAATCCTTCATTGCGTAAAAACCCGATGATACACGGACGTCCGGAGGCTCCGGTCAATGACCGGAGCTCCGGCGGTACCGGAGGTACCGGAGGGGGGCGGATGATGGCCAGGAATTGGCCGGACGTCAGAGGGAGGCTGCACGGATATAACAGTATCCCCCTCTTAGGTTCCTCTCCCATGAGGAACCAAGACGAAAGAACAATGGAGAATCGTGAGAAAATAAACAAGATCAAAAAGTCACGTGCTGTTGGTTTTCGAGTCATAACAACTCTCTCTCTCCTACCACCACCATCCCGGCACAACTACCCATATCGCCATGCAAGACGACGGAAAAAGCGACGATGGACGCGAGGGGTCGCCCGGGGACGTCGGGGGCGGCTCCGGCGGCGCTTCGAAGGGGAAGGGCCGCGCGTCGTCGGCGGAGGTGCGGGAGGAGGTCGCTCGTAGGCGACACGAGCAGCGTGAAGCTCGCCGTGCGGAGATAATCGCGGTGCACGAGGCGGAGGCGGTGGAGCTGCAGGAGGCGGCCGCTAGGGCAGCGCAGGTCGTGCAGCGCCTGGCGGACCTCGATGCTGAGGACCCGGAGTTTGACGAGGAGGAGCCTATTGAGTGGGCCCGGACGGAGACCCCGGAACGCGCGGACGACGAGCTCGATAGCGATATCGAGAACAATGAGAATGGTGCGTCGCAACATGACCGGAGGTGCCGGAGCTAACTTTTTACAGTTTGCGCTGCTTGCCAGAGGGTCCGTGCGCAGTGCCTCGTCCGGAACGGTCGTTCCGCGTGCGAGCGCTGCCGCGCGAAGCACATCTTGTGCAGCAATGCCGGAGGTCCTGTGCGCCCGAACGCTCGTCGCGAGGCGCAAGAGGCGCGCGAGTCGGTTTCGGGGCCTGTCGCAGGGCCTTCGCGGGCGCGCCGGAGCGTCCGGGAAACCCGGAGCCGCCGGGGCGAGCGCGAGGTGCGGGATAGCACCAGGGCGGAGCGCGAACGGAGGGAGAAGAAGGAGAAGAAGGGGAAGAAGTCGACCGGGGGTGGCCGGAGGTACCGGGAGCTCCGGAAGCGTATGGATACGCTTGTGAGCATCCACCATGAGGAGTGGGAGCAGAGCCAACTCGTCGCGCGAGCGGTTGAGCTCATCCTCCAGTCCCTGGCGGCGCCGGAGGGTCAAGGGGCTAGCCAGCCCTTTGCTCACCGGATGCTGCTGTTGATGGGATTGGCGTCGGAGGCCCCGGAGTTGACCTCGGAGGAATTGCAGGAGGTGGACCGCCTCACGGAGGGGGCGCAGAGGCCTGCGGAGGCCAGGAGGAAACGCGGAGGGGATTCGGAGGTGGAGGATGCGCCGGAGCGCCCGACCAAGCGTCGCAAGGTGGCGAAACGGGTCGCATCGGAGTCGGAGGAGGAAGAAGAAGCGCCGGAGGTTCCGGAGGCACCGGAGGCCCCGCGGGAGCCCTCGACTGGGTGGCCAGCGGGATTCGAGGTTGCGAGGAACCCGGAGGATGTGGAGATGGAGACGGAGGTGCCGGAGGTTCCGGAGGAGCACGAAGAACCCACGGCGACCTCCACAGTCGCAG